TCGTCTATAGACGACGCGCATTTACGACACTCATTTACGACACGCAATTACGACGCACGTTTACGACACGCAATGCATATCAAGGAAGCCCCTATCATAAAGGAAGACGACACGCATTCGCGTGTCGCAACCTTATGACGCGCGTGTTAATGACACGCAATGCGTATCAAGAAAGCCCCTGTCAAGAAAGGCCATGTAATAAATGAAGATGACACACATTTTTGCGTATCATAATTTTAAATGTTTAAAAGAAATATTATTTGTAGATTTACTAATTTTCAAATTAAATTTGTATTAATTTCTCATAATAGAAAATTAAATATCATATACGAAAAAATACAATCCATTGTATAAAATTTTAATGTCATACAAATAATCGTTCCATGTAAAGATAAAACAAATCAATAGTTGTAACAAAAATTTAATGCCATACATTGTTATTAAGGGGTTTTCCCTAACTATATAACCTGATACTATATCCCTAACTATATAACCTGATCCTTCATGCCATTAGTTTGCCACCTTGTGTACTACGTAAAAATGTTGAACTTGGTGTCATGGGCGGCTGCCCACCGGGCGTGGTTGGAAAGTAATTACTTGCTGATAAGATAACAATGCTTTAATCCAAGACGAGTCAAGAATGCCTAAGAAAAAGAATCAACTAAACAAGCAAAACCTTGATTGGATTTTTGTTAGTGTAAGAAGTTAAAGGTACAACCCTTTAAAAGGCAGCTGGTATTCCTGTTAGAAAAAAAACTTCACCTTTATTTATTAGTTTTCCCTCCACCACTGTAGGCATGCTTCAAATTCGTTAGATCAATGTTGTCCAAACTCTTAGACAACAATGAGTTTCCAAGTAATCCTAAAAATCAAAGTAATGCTTCAAACTCTTCTCTGTTTTGTTAGAAACAAACTTTCTGTGGAAGATCTTTATGCCAAATACATTGAATTCATGGGTGAGGGAAATATTCAAGCCCAAGTGTTAGAAGGAAAAAATGACGCCCTATCAAAAAGAAAGAAAGTATGTCTAAGTTGATTTCAATCTATCCCAATTTTCATTAATCAAACATTCAACTTTCATTGATTCAATTCAAATCAAAAATACACCTCAACAGCCAAATAACAAATGGATCCAACAGTGAAGCGAGTCCATCAGCAAAGCAAAATCCTGGAGATAATTTGAAGAAATTCTGGTCTAATATGTTTAAAATTTGATAAAACCCAAATTCACTAATGAAAATGCAGATCTATATTGGTAAGTTACTATGCATTCCAACCTTGAGAAAAAGGTTAGGCAATATGTTGAAGATGCAGTTGCAAAACCATATTTCAGCAGAATAAGAACTATAGGGAATATAACACCATTTCCAATAAACAGTTCTAAGCCTACAAAGATAGAACAATGATAAACATAGTTCATTAAAGATGTAAAATACTTCCAATAAACTGTTCTAGGCCTACAAAAAAAGGTTTCTACATACAGATACTACTGATGTAAATACTTACAATATACCTTCGAAAATGCATGTAAAATGTGAGTTTGGAGACTTACCAAAGATGTAAAAGAGAATGATTGCAAATAAGGAAGGGAGTAAGAAGCTTATGATGTCCTATATATGTGTTGACACCCAATATGACAATATAGATACCCGAGTATTAGTAATGATAACCAGTTAATGGTCAAACTGTGAATCACATATTGGTTATACATTGTTGTGTTAACAAAATAAAAGCGTAAAGAAAACAAAAAAGTTTGCTTACCCCACTAATCAGTTGTTGATGTTTCACTTTTACTTCATGCTCCTGCATAAGACATGCATTACGTTAAAATACAAGAAAATATTCCCATTAACTAACTGTTTACAGGAAACCCAAATTTGTTTTCCCAAAATGACCAATAAGTTATAAATCCTTGATCAAGAAATTCTTGAGTATTGCATAAAATGTTTATTGTTGGATTAACTGAGGGGCGTTAAAATAATTTGGTCAATTATGTGAAAAAAACAACTAGAGAGTGGCATACCTTCACAATAGGAACAACAAATGAAGCACGAATGAAATCACTATTTAAATACACAACAATAGTTACAGAGAATGCATCCAAGTCCTACAAGATCATACAAATCGCTATTTAAATACACACTACATATAAAGGTGTCAATATTCTGATTGTATGTTATCCTAGAAAAATTTATAAGATATGAGTATAAATAGAAGAATAATTGGAAGTATATGTATACTTGATGTTGCAGGTGTTGACTTTCTGTCATTGGAAGTTGTGAAGGTTATGGAGGGTTGATCAGGATGTGCCAACCTAAAGCAACAGATCAAAAGAGCCGAATTAAGCAACCATACAAGCTCATGTTGTAAAATTTAAGTAAAATCTGATAAATTACTTCGCTCACGCATGTTGCTGATGAAATATGTCTGTAGATATACATAATTAACTTTACATTCCTATTTATTTCAATATATATATATATATATATATATATATATATATATATATATATATATATATATATTCTAGAAGGGGTAATTCAGTAAAAGACAAGTAATCAGTTCGTTTTTCTGTTGAGGGAAAATCTGATATTTACGTTTTTGTGCATACATTATGTTTTTTTAGTACATATACACACAAAAAAAAAAATTAAACCAAAGAAACAAAAATCAAAATGTATGTGTATATTATTAAACAAGAAACAAAAGCAAAAAAAAATGAAAAATTTTGACAATTATGCATATATATGGACGTGTATTTGTGTGTATTAGGCATAAGGCATTCCCAATTCCTTCCCCCCCAAAAAAAACTATTGTGAAATGCTCTTTTTTTTGGGTTAACCACATAAAAAAGCAATGCAATCTGAAAAAAACATTCTTATTTTACAAATATTAGCCCAAATAAAAAAAATAAAAAAAACTTATATACGGGTAACCGGTTTTTTCTGAACCGATTTCGGTAAAACGGAACCGGTTTATATAAGTTCGGATTATTTTGGGGGTGGACCGGTTTTGAACCGAACCAGTTTTTGGGTGAAACTGGTTTTGACTTGGTTGACTGAAAGAAAGAAAGCTCTCACTTGAGAAATGATATATGCCAACCGAATGGATGTTGCATTGGAGGTCCTTATTCATATTCCATACATACAAGACATGTTCAACATGACAAAAAAAAACCTCATAACAGATGAGAATCAGAGTTTTGAAATTGTGATCAAAGAGCTTAAAACATAGATTACTAAACCGAGTTAACTCACCCGGACACAAGAACAGCCATACTATCAACAACTAGCAACTTCACTTGGTGTTGTAGAAGTGAAACTTTAATTTTCTGCAAACCGGAAACAAAAATAGTTGTAGTAAAGATTGAGTTTTTCAAGTAAATCATATGCATGGAGTTAATTAGAAATGGATTAAGATCTACCCTTCAGATCTCTCCCATAGTGCAGATAAAATGGCCTCATCACCAATATCACTGAACAGAAAACAACACTGGATGTCTTAAAAACTCTGCATGTACTCAAGAATTATAAGAAAAAGAAAAAAAAACAAGCAAACTAGACTGCATTTCTACCCAGTAACATATATTTTTTTGTTTATAGATGAAAAGAATAACTCTATTTAGGGCAATGCAAAGAAGAAACAATGTTCCACAAATGTATCAGTTGTTTACTATATGTAAAACTTCTGTATATGCAAATTACAAATCATTAATCCCAGCCTTTACACATAAGGTAGACAACAGAAAAAAAACAATTCTAACAGTTGTTAACTATATGATAATACCTAATCACTCTCTTGAAATCAGCAAAAAAAAGTACCTGAATTTAACTTTTGGAGATGGAACAGGGAGCTTATAAAGTTTTAGTTATGAACTCACCACCAGCCTTCCTGTATGATGAAATAACTTATAATCCCATGAAGAGAAAAGTAATTATCTATTGTTATTAGTAAAAGTAACTTACAAAAAAAAGTTACTGTTAAAATTTGAGTAGACATCTGGATTCCAACCAATAAACTGGGACATCAGACAAGAAGTTGAGTTCTAGAGAAGTCTGATGAAATAATTGTCTAGCAATTTCCTGAAGTAACAAAAAAAACATACTGTTAAAATAACAAAAAAAAAACTTACTATTAAAATTTTATTCATAGATGAACCAGGGAGGGTTGTGCCATTTTGGAAAACATCAGTTCGTGCTCTATACATAATTGTCTAGCAATTTCCTGAAATGGATATGAAATAAGCTCAAATGAAGAAAAATCCGAGAAAAAGACAAATGGATTACTTGTGTTGATGTAACTACATGGGCCCTAACAACTGGAGAGCTGCGTAAAAACCTATGTAGAGTTAAAAGTTTCTTAAACATGATACTATTGAAATATCCCATAAGCATAAGCAATCTGATAAAATATTCAAGCTTGCCATATTCCTTTAGAGATGTTATGTGTAGAACAGATAGACAAAATAAGCACATACCTGCTTTTCGGTTTAAAGGCAAGCTAAACCCCAAGCCAATACCTTTCTAAAACCACCTCTTGCTGAAAAAAATTCAAAAACAAGGAAACAAATGACAAAAAAACACCCTCAGAAAACCCCCAAGTATAACATTAAGCATATAATTTCCTTACGAGTCAAAACCATTTTTTGTGTCATTGTGTGAAGATCTTTTTCTTAAAATTCAACTATTTTTGTTGCATGCACTATTCAGGAAAAAGTGGCAGCCTAGCAACACTTGTACCTGCAACACCACCCGTAGGTGCAATGAAGTCTGAACTAGGTTTGGAGTTTTTCCTTGATTTCTTGTTTAACTTTTGTGGAACAATCTGTAGCCTTGGATTGAGGTCAGTGCCTGAGTTTTCTACATCCAATTAATTGGCTATAGAAACTAATTCCAATTAATTGGAGCAAACATTTCAATTCAATGCTCTAACAATTTACCAAACAAGAATATAACAAAACTAATGCTAAGATAAGATCCCATCTATTATATATGAGAACATCAAAATTTTGTAACACCACAAGGAGACAAATGGTAATTGGTATATCTTATTACAGATACAGGCCATACAATTGTTGTCTCTGTTGTAAGAAAATTATGGTTGTCCTGCAATTCAATAGACATTCAAGAAGATTATGGATGTCAAATACTAAAGAATAATAAGAGATTCCTAACTAAAAAACTAATAGAAATTACCTGTTCATTATTCTGAAAAATAGAATCAAGTTCACGAGTTGGAGCTAAAACTAACATAATTGGTCCATCTCCAGGAGCTGAAAAAGAATTATATATTAGCTGAAAAACTTGAATTTAAAAGGTTGAAAATAAAAAAGGGTATTAGCCCAACCTCCTCCCCCTGTCCCACCTTCAGTAGGACTTTGAATACAATTCCTCTGTTTTCAATTTTATATCTTTTTTACATCAATTTTATATCTTTTCATTCAAGAACAAGCTCATTAACACATCACCTGCATATACAATTGAAGTCATTATAATAAAATTAGAAATTATATTAATTACACATGTTTTACACACTTCTTAATGATGAAAAATTAATAGTTTATGTTCTAAAGGCAATCATATCTTCCTCCGAGGAATTTAATAGATTCCAAATAATTTTACAAAATCAAAATAATTAAAGAGAAAATTAACCTTCAGCCTCCATGTCAAAAACTTCACCAAATAACCTAGTCCGCTTTTATGTACACACATAGAGAAACCAACACGAGGTCCACGTGGCATTCCACGTTTCTTTACCTAAAACCAGATAAAGTTTAAATAAAATATAAGTTATTCACCTCCTGACAATGACATAGGACTAAATTTACCTCCTGATAATGACATGGGACTGAATTCACCTCCTAACAATGACGTACGACTGAATTCACCAGCATGAGGTCCAGGTGGCACACAGTCCGCTTTCTATTTAAAAGACCAAAATACCCTCGACAATTCACCTCCAAACAATGACATAGGACTGAATTTTCCATCACTTGATATGCAGAATATAAAGAAGATGAAGACTGATATTGATTGAAAAAGATATTTAATGACCATGTGGTACCCGCCTTTGACATTTGATCTTTGAAGAACCGCAGCTTTCGTGCCATTTCTCCACATCTTTTGATCTTCACAACAGAGGCAAAATAAATAAAGCAATAATCAATACATTACTTACAGTCTCTTTTTCAATCAATATTAGTTTTAAAGATTAGAATGCAAAAATCAACTTCCAGAAGTCAATTGTATCTCTTATTTGGTAATCACAAAGTAACAATAACTTGTTTTTGAAGCTTGAAGCAGATTTAAACGGGTATAGCTGAAGAAGATGCTTATTTCAGAGTAAATTAACGACCATTTTACCCTTCTGTATAAAAATTGGGTATCATGAGAAGTTGAATATAAAGCCAACCTCCATCCTGGTAAGTCATAAATGCAGCCATCAATTCATATGAGTTTTTGAATCATGAATATATAGAGAAATTGTACAAGTTATAATCAAGAAAAATTGACAAGTTTAGTGATTATTAAACCTGATGAACAGTAACTGGGACACCAAGCTCTACACTTGAGCTAGTCAAAAGCACAGAGGCAGCCCCAGATGAACTCTTATGAGGAGAAACATATAAATTTGATAAAACCACAGAATGTATAAACTCTAAATACATTTGTTTACCAATCCTACACCATAACAAAATTTATGAAAAGATGAACTGGTAAAAAGATTTATCGATGAAAGAGATGATAATAAAACCTCAAAATTTGGTAGAATTCGTACAAGTCAGCCACCAAGTGATTATAAAATTGATTTTAGGGATGCCATTCTTCAAATTACCTGCTCTGTAAATGAAAAAAAAACCCTAATATTAGGGAAGAGAGAGAGAGAGAGAGAGAGAGAGAGAGATCACGAAGAGTCAAAACGTAACCTGAATGTTCAAGTGGTTAGATCAACCTGTTTTTTTCCATCCTCATCCCTGTTTAGAGAGATGTGATTGAAATTTCACAAAAATATAGGGTTAGAAAACCTTGGATGGCCTAATTCGATTGTGGAGTTGATTTTTTGCTAATAAAATCGCATAATAGGGATCTGAATGTGTATCTGCTGGAATCTCTCCAATCTTCCTTCCCTTAATTCTATCGTCGTATTTGTCTGCGTGAAGAGCCGAAAATCCGTAAGTCCCAAAGAAGTGCGAGGGAAGAAGAAGTAGCGACAGTCAATGTCGGGAGGGGGAAGGAAGGAGCGTAGATAATTAGGGCAAGACGGAAAGGAGAAAAAAAGGAAGGCAGGGTTTTTAATTTTTAAGGATTTCATTTTCCCCCCTGGTTATTAAACGATGGAACGCGCGTTCCATTAAAATTTATAAAGCGACATCCTTAGACGACACGCATTTTATTATAGGTGCCCTCTGTGTTCCTTTTTAGACACTAATTTAAGGGCATGCAATAATGCGTGACATAAATCCTTAAATTTTTTGAAGAGATGACACTTTTTTAATGTCACTCTCTACTACGTAACATCAATCAATGAGTGTCGTGGTTTGCGCGTCGTAAAAGGGTATTTTTCTTGTAGTGCTTAGACAAACATAGATCCAAGGTTTATTAGGGTTGCATGTACACTTAGGAAGTGTTAGAACGCTCAAAACCCAACAGTGGTATCAGAGCCTAGGCTTGTTTGTTTGATACTTGATGCAAAATAGTGAAAAAAGTCAATATTCTTGTTGTCTGCATGATGAACTCACCGAGTCCATGGGGGGACTCATCGAGTTCATGACCAAATTCATCCTACTCGATGAGTAGGATCGTGCACTCGGCGAGTAGAAGCCTCAGAATGCAGATTTTCGACTTTAGCTGCTGGAAATGGACTTGAAACATTACCCTAAACTGTTTTGGTGTTTTAAAACTTGGTTTAGTTGGTGTAATGGTTGTTCTAATCCATTTACAATAGCTTATATCAAAATTTCATGCTTTGTGTGGGTTCATATAATTGTTGAAACTTTGATGATCATGTTCATGTTCTTATGAATTTAGAAGATGATAGGAATTATTTGCTGAATTGCTTAGGATTAATTCTTGATCATTTATGTGTTTTAATGGAGTCCATAATTTATCCTCAAGTTATGGATATCCAAAGGTCACCTCTTTTAAACACACATTTAAAACACATAAGTTACATAAAATGAAGAGTCTTCATTTTTATGAACCCTTAATTCATAAGTTATGAAATGAAAAGTTGTGGATGGTTACAAAATGTGTCCTCAAGTTTTGGAATTTGTAAAGTTTCACACACTTTAATAAACTTTAATTCCAACCCTTAGAGTTTTAATAGTTAAAATTCAACACTTATACTATTTATAACATTAATGGTTAATTATTATATAGATGTATAAGAATAAGTCGTTTTACCGTTAGTAGGCCTCATTCAAGAAGTCGGTCTATAAGGGGGGGTTATAAGGTTGTTGCCTATAAAATGGCAACTTAATGGGTGTCCACTCTCACCCACCGCTTCCTTGATCGATGGAGGGTCGTTAGCCGAACGGGTAGGACAATGACTTTAAATTCTCATAAAAAGTATAATGATTATTATAAAGTAACTAAACTTTTCTTTTAATTCCCAATCTTAGTTACTTTAGGAAAAATGTGAACATGGTGCTAGTCCATGGAATTCACACTTTGTACCTTACCAAGTCGTTAGTGGAGCGTGTGTGGTTGACCAGCACACCAACTTGGACTAGTAAGGATTACGAAGGGTGACTTAATGTTTGTCATAGATCAATGGAGCGTGTGTGGTTAACCAGCACATTGATTAGGTGATAATGTTAAGAGTACCAAGTAAATTAGCATGGTTATTCACACCTTGTTTTGTGATCCTTGGCATCCCAGTCACAAAACTTGAAGGGCACAATCGAGATTGAAACATGCCATTGAAAAGTTCAATGAATCTCAAAAGAATCTAGGAATTTCAAATCCAATTAAAACCTAATAATTCGTTTCGTTTTTCATGGTGGAAATCGGTGAATCGTCATTCACCTACCTTTCAAATATGTTATTACTTAGATTACGACATCCCTCTTCTAAGTATAATATATTACGATTGGATCCTAGCCTTAATATTACATTTGATTGTCTTATTAAGGACTCTATATATCTAATCTAAACTTGCTTTCTTCTTTCAGATGTCTTCCAACACTAATGCTTCAGGCTCTAACCCAACTGGCTCTTTCTCTCTCATGAATCTTTGTGGGAGAGTCATCTTTAATGGTTCCAACTTCATGGACTGGATTAGGAACATCAGGATGGTTACTCGTTATGAGGACAAAGAATACGTCCTCGACAAGGAGTTAAAGGAGCTTGATGAGTCCACTGCTACTCCTAAGGAGATCGCTGAATTCAGGACACATGAGAGAGATGCTACTATGGTGGCATGCATCATGATTGCCACGATGACAACCAAACTCCAAAAGTCCTAAGAGGACTTCTACCCTTTTGAGATGCACCAAGACCTGCTGGAAAGGTACCATAAGAGTGCTCGTCAGGAGCGGTATGAAATAATCTCCTCCATGATAACAACCCGCATGAAGGACGGTGAATCCATCACGAGCCACATGCAAAAGATGCAAAGGTATGTGGGTCGTTTGCTCAAGCTAAACGTGAACTTCCCTGAGGAGTTGGCAATTGACATCATTTTTCACTCCTTACCTTCTTGCTATGACCAATTTCGTATGACATATCATATGAACAAGGAGGAAGTTACTCTTAGCAAGCTTAGAGGATGCTTGAAGACCGCTGAAACCGGTCTTAAGGGCAAGTCGGTTGTGTCACACCCCGAAAACCGAAGGCGGAAACATTTCCGAGGCGAACTCCACGTTGAGTATCAAATCCAATGCACATAGTAAGCGAAGTAAAACACAAAACATTACATTACATTATATTACATAGATATAATTACATTAGTTGAAAAGTAAAGTAGTACAAGTTTCATAGTTACATAGTTTATACAAAAGAAAGACGTGACTTCCATTCGCTCCGTCTTCAGCAAAAGAACGTAGGGATACCGGTCTAAGAAGAACCTGAGAATACAAGCAGTTTGAAAATCAGCAAAGAGCTGGTGAGTTCATAAGCGGTTTGTTTTTATGCAAATGTGCAAGATTCCTTTTAAATTCTGAAAAGGTTACGACCCAAGAAAATCCCATATTTTCTTATAAGTAGTTATTAGTTAACTGATTACTCACACGATACTAGATATGCGTATTCACTAACCCAGGAAAATCCCATATTTTCCTAAAAGTAAAGTTTTACTGAAAATTCATGGGATTACTATCCCATACCAAATATAAGACCGTTTGATATACACAAAACTATAGATAGATGTAGATTTAAAGCTATAGGACTATTACTCAATACTAATTATAGATTCAAACCATGGGATTACCATCCCGTACCAAATATAGATTTAAAACCATGTGATTACCATCACGTACCAAATATAGATTTAAAACCATAGGATTACCATCCCGTACCAAATATAGATTTAAAACCATTGGATTACTATCCCGTATAAGATATAGTTAAAAACCATGGGGCAAACATCCCGTACAAGTTATAGATACCATATAAAAAGTAGATACGGAATCGAAACAAAGTCAAAACGATACTGTGAATAGACTTATATTAATACATATTGTGAGTCGGGTAACCATGCTGATACAACAACGAGACCTCCTAGACGTTAGTCAGACGTCGAAACGATATCCAGAAATTTGTCACCCCAGGCGTTCCCGCCTATCTGTAGATAACAGTTAAGGTGTGGGATTGTCAGTCCCGAATAGATCTATTCACAAATTCCCCGCTCTCCCTCCAGGAGACTCTGGTTACACTTCAGGGGAGGATTTACTGATCATCCATAAAGGGTAGTGACTATCTCACAAACTAGTACTAAAACTATTCACAGGGTTCTCATACGATATCAACATACAAAAGATTGTGAAACGTAATACAGCGAATATAGATACATACAATGAAACTATTTGACAATACATTCAATGATACGGAGATAAACTGAATCAGACATAGTTTATCTAATAACTTTATATAGATATCAGTACATGATAAAACGAACAATA